TAAAGATTTTCCTTGCAGTCTCCATCAAAGTTATAGGTCTCGTGATTTCCAGATTTCCCTCCCAGTCCTTTGGTTTCAGTATCAGTGTAACATTACTGTGGATCCAATCTTTAGGGACCTGACCAGTTTTTATAATATTATTGAATAGTTTGCCTATCATTTCCAGACCGTTTTCATCTAAGTGTTTGAAAATTTCATATGGTATCAGCAATGGTCCCGGTGCTTTGTTGTTATTCATTAGCTTAATTGTTCTTAGTATTTCATCTTTTCCTATCTCCTCCATCAAAGGATTATATATTTCTTTATTTATTGATGGTATTGGTTTATATCTATTTTCCCAACGAGTGTTTTTTATTGATGTGTCTATTTGCGTTCCTTTTGTCCATTGATACAAATGTTCTTTTACTTTATCTTTAATTTGTGTTGGATCTGTGATTATTTGTGTTGTTCCATCCTCTTGCGTGTTTATGATTCGGTCTAATAAAATCTGTCGGGAGTCTCTATCTAAGACTTTGTCAATTATGTGTTTTGATTTAGTGCTTAGAAATTCTTGACGTAATTCGATCTTATGTTTGATTTCTTTTTTCTTTTTTCTGATTAATTCTCGTTTAATTATTTTTCTTATAGTTATCCATAATTGCTTTATATTATTGACCCATTCCAATTTTTCCTTTGGTAATCCTGCCGAGGGAAAAAATTGAATATTTAATTCGTATTTGTTTGTTAGTTTATTTTTCATTGTTTCTATAGTTTCTAATTTTTGCGCATTCATATTGTTTGTACTTTCTATTTTACTGCCTAATCTGTATAACTTGTTTAATATATTTAACATGGGATATTTCGAGTGTTTTTGCCACATAATAGTTGTACGATTTCTTGGTTCCTTAGCTTTTGGTAAATTTTTGTTTCTGACATTTATTATCGTGGATTTGATTTTTTGCCATATATCTTCAACTAATTTTAAATTTGTTTCCAACTGCAATTGTTTTTCCCAAGTATCTTCTGTCTCCTGTGTAAATTTCTCCCAGTTTTCTTTATCCGCCATTTTCAAATTCCAAAGTTGAGGAGTTCTGTAGTTTACCCTTTTATACTTCTTATAACTAGTACCATCACAATATTTACTCACGTCTAATGTCACGT